GGAATATTTAGAAAGGTAGGACTTCTGACCCGGGAATATTTAGAAAGGTAGGACTTCTGACCCGGGAATATTTAGAAAGGTAGGACTTCTGACCCACGTACAGGGCTTTCTCACGTGCACCCACCTAGATTCCATGGTGTTAGTGTCGCTTAGGTTCTATTAGGCTATGCTTAAGTAAGACTGGTACCGGGTCAGATGGACTCCAAAAAAAAAAAAAAAACCTTAAAGTAAGGCTCCTTACTTTCCTTCTAACGAGAAAAAAAGGTGGCAAAAATTGAAGTGTCAGTTAATTTACTTTTCCTGGGAAGAGGCTTTAAAAAAACAAAAAACATTTAACAGCTCATGTTCTGAATTCTACCAGTTCCTTCTGCAACTGACACAGCATTAAAATCAGGTCTACAGCATCAGAGGCTACAAAACTACAACACTGGGCATCCCATGAGGACAGACGATCTCACACGACTGGGAGAGCCGGCTAAGGAGGGGGGCAAAAACCAGGAGACAACAGCTCATGTACACTTTTGCACCAGACCACGGGGAGACTAGGAGGAGCGGAGGCCAGCAGCGGACAGCTCAGCTGCTCTGTGTACCCGGAGAGGTCTGCAAACGGACGGCACATACAAACCGAGCTAGAGAAGGAGCTCTCCCCAGCAGCTGCTCTCCTGAGAGCACCCACAAGCTTCAAGGCAAGTGTTTCCATTCTCTGAATTAAACAGGCCGTGTTAAAACAAGCAAGAAAACCAGCCCAGGGCCAGCCAGCCCACCACGACTAAAAGGAGCAAGAAAACCAGCCCAGGGCCAGCCAGCCCACCATGACGCAGTGCAATCTCGCAGGAACAGAGGTCAGCGGAGAGGCTACACGTTGGTCTCCAGGCCCAGCAGGCGTCCCATTGTCTCCACGTTCTTGCTGATGGTAGCCTGACATGTTATCTCCCTGGCACACTCCATAGGAAACCAGCCCCTCTCTCCGTCTCGCAGCCGCTCCCCCTCATACCAGCCTGCAAGGGAGAACAGTGCATCAGGCAACTACGAGGCTCCGAGAAGGACGCGGAGATCAGAGACACCACCTGCCCCAGCTGGGGCATCACGGATGATGGAAGGTGAGGAGAGCTGGGATGGAGGAAAGGTTTCCCGGGGGAGATGAACGGCATGCCAGGGACAGACGGTGAGCTCGGGCTGAGATGAGGAAAGGGACCTCTGGGGAGGGGAAGCAGGTCAGCGAATTGGTTTTCTTTTTTGAAAGTAAGGAAGAACCTCTGGAGATGAGAACTAGGTCACTGGGGGGAAACGTTTCACGGTTCCTTTCAAATAACAAACCGTATGACTGCGTCTCAGTCAACGCCATTAAATTATTATCAAGGAAATGCAGATGAGAGGCTGCTGCCTATGTAAGAGCAGAAGCGAAGGAGGAGAAGGAGGCTGTATAACCAGGTGCCGGGGAGCTGACTCCTACTCATGGTGACCCCGTGTGCGTCAGAGGAGAGCTGCACTCCATAGGGTTTTCAGGGGCTGATATTTTGGAAATAGATCGCCAGGCCTTTCTTCCGAGGCACCTGTGGGTGGACTCGAACCTCCAATCTTTTGGTTAGCAGTGTTAACCATTTGCACCACCCACTATTTAGGGTAAAAGATTTCAAACGTACCAAAGTCCCTTAAATACTTCTCTAGGCCACCTTTAGGGCTCTGAGAAGCCACTGACGTGGGAAATGAAGTCCCAGGAAAGAAGAAAAGGAAGCACAGAGATGGGAATGTGGAGACAAGAAGGCAGGAGATAAGGTGTCACACATCACTGGGTCAGGATCTTCTCTGTAGGATATGGGCAGTGAGGAGGAAACGTGACTCCTTGGTTCCGTGGGGCCCTGCACCCCATGAATGCGGGACTGCGCGTGCTCACCGTCGCCCACGCGCTGATAAATGAGGACCACGTCGGCCACCTGCAAGGACAGCTCATCGGGCTGCTTGGCCGTAAACGATCGAGTGACTTCCACCTGGGTCAGCGCTGCGGAGGGAAGGAGAGAAAACAAAACAGGTACAAATCACTCGCTCCTTCTCTGTGACTCTCAGCTGGCACTGAGAAAACAAGCGAAGCTCCTTATCTGGTTACAGCTCGCAGGGGGAGATTACCCAGTGAGCACAGCACGCACCCTGCACTTAGCAAGGTACGCACCCTGCACTGAGCAAGGTACACAGGGCTTAACTGTGTTTACCTGCTAATCTGTGGCGAGCAATTTCACACAGGTTTCACATCTTTAACTCAATAACCTTGCTTATTGAGTAATACGGCCCTGCGAAGCTTTAGAATTTTAGAAGCTCGAAGTCAACAGAGGCCTTAACCATCACACCTTTTAAGATTCGTGACTCCGTCAGCCTTGATAAGGAGACACTAGTCATGTCACACGGGGTCACACAGTCCTGGTGAGGGGCATCATACGGGGTCACACAGTCCTGGTGGGGGGCAGGAGGGAAGCCTTGGGGAAGTTTAAAAAGCAGGTATTGTGGTGACATAATCCATTAATAGGAACCCTGGTGGTGCAGTGGTTAAAGTGCTGGGCTGCTAACCAAAAGGTCAGCGGTTCAAACCCACCTGCTGCTCCATGGGAGAAAGATGTGGCAGTCTGCTTCCGTAACGACAGCCTAGGAAACCCCGTGGGGCAGTTCGACTCTGTCCTACAGAGTCCCTGTGAGTCAGAATTGACTCAAGGGCCACAGGTGTGTTTTTGGGCTTCAATTCATTAACAGCCCAGCGTCCACCAGGGGGCAGGGTCCCTCCACGTTCCAGAGCAGGTGGCTCCTCAGGAAACTTACAGGTTCTGTCAGGAGGCTGCTTCCCGCTGCTGTGTCCCAGGACGGTCATCCATCGGGCTCGCTCACTCCTAAACACAGAGCAGGTCCCATTGAGACACCCACAGTCCAGAGACAGAAGAATGCGTGTTCTCCACAGCCCACGCAGAGCCATGCCCAGAAAACGGGAGAAATTCTCCAGAGAGTCTGCCCTTCACAACCAGGAGAGTTACTGAAAAATTACACTCTGGGAAGCTAAAATAGGCAGAAGACAAGTCCACATTGCCAAAAGATTCTGAATGAAGCTGGCTAATTGCTGATTAAACAGAATTTCTCATATCACAGTTTAACGTTCAACAAAGAGCTTTTTACACTGGTACGTTATAATCTCAAAAAGAGATTCAGTACACTCATTTAATCTGACGTTTAACATTTCAAAAAGGTAAATATGGTTTTTTAAAATCCTGCGTCAGTCTCTTCCCACTCCCTCCATCCCCTCCCCCTGCCCCACATACACTCAAACCACCGTGGGGGGGGTAAGAAACTTTAATATTGAACATGATTAAATATTGTTAAATTAATATAATTAACTTTGCCGAAGTTTGAGCTTTACTGAAATTGAAATTTGTTGTCTGATCTTTTTTAGACTGTTTTAAAATCCTTGAAATGGTTTAATCAGTACATCAATAAACTTTTAAGGAAAAAGAAAATAACCACAATTTTTTATATAATATTAAGCTATAAAACCCATTGCCGTAGAATGGATTCTGACTCATAGTGACCCTACAGCACAGAATAGAACTGCCCCATAGGGTTTCCAAGGAGCGGCTGGTGGTTTCGAACTGCCGACCTTTTGGACTGCAGCCGAGCTCTTAACCACTGCTCCCTTATTAAGCTATAATTAAATGAAATAAAATAATTATTTAACGAAAAGATCTAAAGTTTCAGATAAGCAAGTCCACTACTCCTTAATGCAGTCACCCCCAGTTTTTGGTTTGGAAAGTCAAATAAGACACACACACACACACACACACACACACACACACGCACACACGCGCGCACACACACACACGCACACACACATTAAAATCTCTAAGAAGCATTCATTAAACCCGTATTCCATGTCAAACACAAGCACTTTGCAATCACGATCTCATGGACTTCTCCAAAAAGCCCATTTTAAAGATGGGAAGACTAGACTGAAGCTCTGAGGGAAATAATTCCACCCGAGGTCCATGTCCTCTCCACCACTCCGCTTTCTGCAGAAGAGACGCCTTCACGCCCAACACGGAGGCATTTTTTTCCTCCCATGACAGCTTACACCTAAAGGTGCTTCTCGCTGTCACCCCATCTCCACGCCCCAGGTGTGTCCTTCACCCAGGCAGGGCGGACGGCTTCCAGCACGGGGCTCCACCACGGTGGCACAGCCCTTCCTATCTGTGGCCCCCATTCTCAAATACCTAGTCCCCTCTGTTTTGAACTAGCTGTGCACACGCATCATCACCATCTAAACATTTTATTGAGGTATGACATGCATAAACTACAGAGAGCACTGATCTTAAGTGAAGAGTCTTGGTGAATGTTTACCCACATATACCCGTCTGCCAAATCAAGAAATGGAACACTTCTGACACCCCAGGTTCCCTTCTGTCCCTTTCCAGCCAGTAACCTCCCTCCGAGGACAGCCGCTATTGTGATTTCCACCACACAGGTTAGTTCTGGAGTCCCTGCGAGCTGCAAACAGCAAATGCGCTCAGCTGTTGACCAGAAGGTTGGAGGTTTGAGTCCACCCAGGGATACTGTGGAAGAAAGGCCTGGCGATCTACTTCCAAAAAATCAGTCACTTAAGACCCCGTGGAGCACAGTTCTACTCTGACACCCACGAGGTCGCCATGAGTCAGGGTCGACTGGGCAGCAACTGGCAGATTCGTTTTGCCTGTTCTTGTACTTCATGAAAACAGAATCCTATGTCCACCCAACACGTGGACACTCAAGTCTCACCTCCAGGGGGCCTCCTCTGACACCCCTCCCACACTTCCTCTCCCAGGGCACCCTCTGCACAGCTCTGTCACACTGCTGGTAGGCCCTAAGCCTCAGGAAGGCAGGCGCCTCAGGTGTCTGGTTCATGGTATTATCTCCAGAACACTGCCCGGCACAGAGGTATCTGCTGCCGCTATCAATCACGTCACCCATATGCCCTGAACCATGAGTGTGCCATTCCTTGTCTCCTTCTCTTACCAGCCTTCAACTCCTGGAGGCCAGGAATTAGGTCTTGTTCCAAGTGAACATTACGGAGCACTTCTGTGCCAGGGATGATGCTAAATATTTTGCAAGTATCACCTAATCTAATCTTTATAACAATCTTTTGAAGAAAATTTGACCGTTATTATTTCTATTTTTCAGCGGAAGAAGCTTAAGTGTGGAATGCATGTCTGCTCACAGTAAAACCCCTGGTGAGTGGCGGAGTCAGAATATAAGCCCAGGCAGGCTGCGTTCAAGAGGTGGCGTTCCTTCATCTCATCAATTCCCAGGGCCATACCTAGGTAAAAAGCTCCACTTCTAACCAAAAGGTCAACAGGTCGAACCCACCAGCCACTCCTTGGAAACCCTGTGGCACAGTTCTACTCTGTCTTCTAGGGTTGCTCTAAGTCAGAATCGACTCTAAGGCAACGTGTTTGGTTTGGTGGGTACCTAGCAGATGCTTACAAAAACCACGAGGGAAGGCAGGAAGGGCGGAAACCGCAGTGCGCAGAGAGACAGACTTTTTTTAAAAGAATAAGATGAGGCTGGGCTCTGGTTGAACTGATGTGTCCCAAAGTAATACCAACAATTTATACAGAAACTGATGACCTCGCCTTGTTCTTAATTTTGTTTTTCTCTAATAGGATAAAGGGCTTTAGAAAGGCTTTTTATAGGGAACAAGCAAGACACAACTTCCTTTAACATAATCCCAAGCAAACACTTAAATCCTTGATACCACTCTTTGTTGGGATAACATCTGTTTTTCACTCAGGCTCAACTGGAATTTCCCAAGTGCAAACGCAGGGAAGATAAGTTGTTCAGGACAGCAGAGGTGCTCACCAAGATGAACCTACAAGGAAGGATTTGTGTTTCTATGTGCCATACGCACACAAACTAGACTCATCTTTGAATTTCCGCTGCATCTGTCAGTGGTCCATCACCGCTGTCTGCAGTCCTTCCCAGGGACATCTGGAGCCGGGGAAGCAGATCTTGCATCTAAGACCCCACGCAAGACTCGTCTGGCACGGGAGCTGCTTCCAGCGGAGGCCTTACCTTGCTGCCAGTTCGCAGAAGCCCCGATGAAATCTTTCACTGGGTGGCACACTGCCTGGATGCTAACAGCAGCCCTTACGCACGGCAGCCCCTCACAGGGACTCCCGAGGACAGAACAAGATACTCCTTGTTGCCTCACTGAAAGGCACTGCTTCTTGAGACGGCTTTTATTGAATCAGTCCCAGCCCCCTCTTAGATGCCGTCAAACCCACACGACTTCCCCTGGAGCTTCCGAGAGCCCTGCCAAGGAGCTCGCTCTTCCTCCCTCAAGAAAGGCTGGGTTTTTAAAGCAGGAAAGGGACCCGCTCTGCTGTTGGAAGTCAGAATTCTAAGAACAAGAAATACCAGGGCATAGACAACAACTGACGTACCCATTATTACACTTAGATACCAAGCCCAGGGCTCACGCACTGATAGCTACTTTCTCCAGGGATGGAATTAAACGATCAAGATGGATTCACAAAAGAGCTTGGCTGCTCACCAAAAGGTCAGCAGTTTGAATCCACCAGCCGCTCCTTGGAAACCCTACGGGGCAGTTCTCCGCTGTCCTATAGGGTGGCTGAGAGTCGGAATCAACTCGATGGCAACGGGTTGGCTTGGTTTGGTTTTCTCTGCACCCAACTGATAGACTTTTCCCTTCATCCTCCAAAAGGTGCTAGAATTAGAATGCTGCGGTGACCTCTACCTCCCGAGCATCCACTCCAAAGCTCACTTGCCACGCCTTCCTCTGCAAGGTCCTGTGGGACTTGACGGTAACGGGTTTGGTTTTGGTGCTTGGTTAGGGCTCAATGTAAGGAGCAGACATAGCAGGAAACACCATAAAACCCAATACAGCAGGTGGCGTCCTGAGCTAGAGGATGCTAATTCCAGCATACCCAACCCAGGGAGAGAAAGATCACAAAACGCAATCCTTTCATAACCCAAAATTATCTATAAAAAACCTACTGCCGTCGAGTCGATTCCAACTCATAGTGACCCTGCAGGACAGAGTGGAACTGCCCCATAGGGTTTCCAAGGAGCGGCTGGTGGATTTGAACTGCTGACCTTTCGGTTAGCAGCTGAGCTCTTAACCACTGCTCCGTATGAAATGCTAAATCTACAGTTCTCTACTGCGGTATTAGCTGTGGTAACACCTTGTCCTGCCTGTCGTAAAATTAATTCAGCACAGTAGGTTTAAACTTCAGAGAGTCGCAATCGACTCGACAGCAGCGGGTTAGGTTGACACTTAGTGGCACAGAGGTCGACGAGACAGCGAAGTCCAGCTTCTGACTGAACCACCGGGCATGGGCTTAAAAACATTAACACGGAGACAGTGGAAAGTCGGCTTCGGATGAGAAGGGGGCAGGACTACAGATGAGACGGGGCAGAATCGAGCCCCACCAAAGCTTTCACCACTGACACGGTTTGCCTGATTTCTCAAGAGAAACCGAGAGACCTGAGTTGCTCTTCAACCTTCCCACTAACTGTCTTTAAATGACATTTGAGCAGAAAACAAAAAGCAAATCCACTGCCATCGAGTCGATTCCTAGTGACCCTGTTTACCCCATATGGTTTCAAGGAGCAGTTGGTAGATTTGAACTGCCGACCTTTTGGTTAGCAGCTGAGCTCTTAACCACTTCGCCACCAAGGCTCTGACACTTGACCAGATACTTTTTTTTCCTGGTTCCTTCTCACAACCAATGAATTTACCTGTGGTTCCTTTCAAACAAGGGGATTTTGAAACTTCTACACCCATAGCCTTTGAAAATAAGTCCTTCGAGCACTCACAAGGAAGAGGTTTGCAAATATGATCGTTTCT